CGGCCGATACTGATACCATGCCGATAATATCGTGCATCACTACTGGTATGGTTAGGTTTTGGGTAAGGCTCAGGGTTAGGTTACTGAAATAAACAGAAGTCAATCCACTGCCCTCAGTGATAGAAACACAAACTTCAGTGAGTGTTCACCTTCTCTGACAGGCGGGAGGTTGGTCTGGTCTATCTCCAGCTCTGCCATCTCTGCTCCTACCTTCACTCCTTCATGGTGCTGCAGAAGACCCCGACACAAGAAAACACAAAGTTAGTTTTAATAAGTTAATGTTTGGTAAAGCTAAATTAAACACGTGGACAACTAAAACCCTAATGAAACATTTGGTAAACACTGTTGTAATTTATTTATTTAGGTGGATGCCACAAGCTTTACTACTTTAAGTGGCAGCCACATTGGAAGCAACACATTAACCAGCACAAATATAAAAACCGTGTTATTATGGAAAATATGAAGCCACTTATAGAGACGTAAACTGACTTATCCTGCCACAGCACTCTGCCTACATTAGATTACATTAACTAACCCTGCCTACATTAGATTACATTAACTAACCCTGCCTACATTAGATTACATTAACTAACCCTGCCTACATTAGATTACATTAACTAACCCTGCCTACATTAGCGTTGTTTACAACACAGCTAACTCAACAAGTACCGACAACATGACGACGGACGGAGCGTCAACTTCTCTCCTACCTTCTGCCTCTTTCTTCTTTTGTGCTGTGTCCTTCTCCGAAGAGACCTTTTTTACTTCTTAACTTTGGGTGTAAGTTCAGCGAGGAAGCGGCGGCGTTTATGCATAACAGAAACAAAGCCCTGTCGGCTCGTACTGACGTGGAGAGCCAGGGCGGACAAAGTTAAGAGCTGCTGCTTCTCCTCAGTTCCTGCTCTCGGCCGCAGCAGTGGGGGCGGTCAACGGCTGCTGCCTTCACGGCCGCCTCCAGAATCAGACACTCCCGTTTCAAAGTTTAATCACTGCCTAGCTGTTCACTATAAAATGTAAGTATTTTCAGCTAGCTTATCAGAAACGCCACACCAGAGGATATTAACAGCAGAGACGACTCTATAAAGACCATTGCAGCGAGGCTTGTGCATCAGATAATTATAGGTCCCATATTTCCAACAGTCAGTGAAAACAGCACCTGATGATGACGTATACTAGCGGCTTAAGTAAGCTATTTTATTCACTATGTTAATTACTCAGTAAAGAAAGATTGGTAATATGGTCTCATAATGTAAAGCTGACTAATTACATAAATAAATTAGATTAATAGATAAAGTTAGCTGAAAAATAAATTGTGTAGATTTTGTCTTGTTGCTACAGAAGCGGATTGATTATCGCGTTTGTGCAATATAATTATCACGTTTGTACAATATACTTATGAAGGTTCAAGGTGACTTTATTGTCATTCGTATCACATGTGGTACATGAGGTGGAACGACATTGTGTACTCAAGGTATCCTCCAAAATAGCAAAAATAGAAAGTATAAAAAAATACAGTATATAAGGATCTAATACACTAAACAATAATAATATAATAAATAATATGGTGTATTAAACAGCAGCCTGAACATGAGTCTGTGGTGAGCAGATGGGTATGAATACAGAGGATTAAGGTAAGAAGTCAGCAGCACAGATAAAGTGACAAATCACCAATTAAAGTGGCATTACAGTGGTTTTTCTGGTTAGAGATTTATGAGTCTAACAGCTTCAGGGTAGAAGCTGTTCCTCATTCAGTGCTCCTCAACCTCCTCCCTGAGGGGAGCGGGGCAAAAAGTGTGTGTGCTGGGTGAGTGGGGTCCTTCATGATGCAGTTGGCCCTCTTCCTGCATCTGGAGGTGTAGATGTCTGTGATGGAGGGGAGACTCCAACATTCTTCTGTGCAGCCTTCACCACTCTCTGCAAAGCTTTTCTTTCTGCAGCTGTGTAGCCTCCATGCGTTGATGCTGGAGCACAGGATGCTCTCCACTGCACACTTGTAGAAGGAGGTGAGGACTGAGCTTCCCAGACCACCTCGCCTCAGTCGTCTGAGGAAGTAGAGTCTCCGATGAGCTTTCTTGATCAGGCTGGTGGTGTTGTTGCCCCAGCTGAGGTTGTCATTCAGGTGCACACCCAAGTACTTGTAATTGGATCATGTTATAACGTGATACTGTTAAATAATTTGTCTTTTTATGTGACAACAGTATGTTACTGCTATTTCTTATTATCTTTGAGTTTTCTTTTATATGTTCTTGCCCATTTGTAAAGATTTGCTTGCCTGTAAACTAAGTAGTTTACAATTAGGTGTTCCAAAGATTACGCTGCCCTCTGCTGATAGTGTTGCCAATAAGCAGGTCAGTAATTTTAGACTTGCTTGTCGGGTTTGTGTACTTTTACCAAATTATTGCATTCAACTGAATATTTCTGAGCTTACGATTTTAAGATGAATAGGTCTAAATTATTTTAAATGTCCTTCCATGTATTAGTTCCTGCATCTGCTTTTCATCTTAGTAAGATGAGACAAACAACCACTCCTTAGGTTAGTTTAAAGTCTCCATTTAACCCAACAATTTTAAACCTTTAAACCAGTGTATATTCTTTTTTCTTTTTCTTTTTGAAGAATAAATGATTAAAACAGGAAAATTAACAGAAAAAATGAACTTGCTAAACAATATCATAATAAGCATTTAGGTTACAATTCAATTCAATTCAGTTTATTTATATAGCGCCAAGTCACAACAAAGTTGTCTCAGGGCACTTTACAGAAACATTCACATACATAAAAGCCAATTAGTAAAGTTCTCTATCTAAGGAATCCAGCAGACAAGTTGAATCTTGGCTTCGTTGCAGTCTCCCATCTTGAGCAAGCACAGTGGCAACAGTGGAAAGGAAAAACTCCCTTACCATAATAACTTAAATAACTTAAACATAATAACCTATGCTCACCATAATAAGCATAACCATTTAGAGTTTTTTTTTTCATCCTTTATTTATACAGTTTAATCACATTGAGCCTTGGAGACTCATTTACAAGTGAGACCTGTTTTAGACAGACAAACAGACAAAAGCAAGAAAAAGAGTCTTCTTTCATTTAGGCTAATGCATCTCACTCCTATTTGTCTGAATTTAGAATTTATTATCTCTTTTATGTAACTATCATGGATATTTTTTTACCATCCATCCATCCATCCATCCATCCATCCATCCATCCATCCATCCATCCATCCATCCATCCATCCATCCATCCAATTATTCATCCATCCATCCATCCATCCATCCATCCATCCATCCATCCATCCATCCATCCATCCATCCATCCATCCATCCATCCATCCATCCATCCATCCATCTTTTCTTTTCAAGGTTGCAGGGAGCTGCTGCCTACCTCCAGCAGTCACTGTGCGAGAGGCAGGGTACACCATGGATAGTTTGCAAGTCCATCACAGGATCTCACAGAGACAAAAAAGACAGTCATTCACACTCTCACTTACACCCAGTGACAATTAGAGTTACCAGTTACCCTAACATGCAAGATTTTGGTCATTGGGAAGAAACTAGAGTACCCAGAGAAAACCTACACGTGCACAGGGAGAACATGCAAACTCCACACAGAAATGTCCTATTTTATCATATCTCAATGAATATAATTATGCTTCTCAAAACTTATAAAAACAATTTGTCAGAATAATTATTAATGTCCCAATATGTCAACTGATGTTTCATGGAGTCCCACAAGACCCAGTCATCAGTCCCAAACTGTTTTTTCTTTAATTGCTTCCTTTTATTGACACCCAACTTCCTTTTATACTTTAAATACGACGGTTAATGCTTAAATGCTGCATTCTATATTTATTTAGAAAAAAATAAAAAAATAAAAAAATAAATAAAGATGCTAAAAGCAAAACCACAACTAGTTCCTTTTAGTGAAAGAAGTAGGAACAAATATCCTATTCATATACTGTAAGCTCAACACCTCTTACATCTCTAAGCTGGTCTTTTTTGCAACAGAGACATCAGTGATATTAAGAAAATCCTTGTAAAGATCGCTCCATCAAGCAACATAAACCTCTGGGTTTCTTGACAACCTTTAATTTGGATGCTAAAATGAACTGAAGTTGACAGCAAGCACCAGAACCATAATGGCTTCAAGACCTAATGGAAACTGTAGCGTCCCAGCCATAAAATCAAATGTCACCTCTTTATCTGCCCTTATTTTTTCATATGCGAGGCTAAACAATGACGTCACTGCCTCTAATAAATACTAAAGCTCTACACAAATACAGAATCTAACTTTGTAAGCTGTCTGCTTGTCTTCTTACCCTCACCAATGATGCTGCACTCATAAAGTTTGTTTTACTGCATGAGTAAGGTAAAAATAAAGGCACAAATCCAACATCACACACAAACTATACTATGCATCAATCACTTTAAATCTGTGACCCAGTGAAAATCTTCCGCTGTTATAAACAGTTTTAAAATGTCAAACAGCTCATAGACAACAAGGTCATGAACATTTTGCTGTGAGGCTCTGATTAAGTAGTTACTCATATTTATGAGGAACCTTCTCTGTTTTGTGTGCAGTGAGGTTTAGGTCAAGAAGTGAAATGGCCCAAGAATTTAATGAACTAGTTGCATAAAGAGCAAAGTGATCTATCCGCCCCGTTTCTCTACCACCTGCTCTCCGAGGAAGTAAGTGACATCACATCACATGCACCTGCTTTGATACATTTACAAAGCCTATAAAAAATAGTTAATCAAGCCAGAAAGGTGGTAAAAACCAAGTGTGCCCTTGAAACACGGGGCAGTTTATTAAGTCTGTAAGCCACCTGTTGATTTATACAAGTGAGAAAGGAGATGACATATTTCTGATGGCTGCTGCGATCAGAAGTGTGTGTGCTGTGCATGAGCAACTGGAAGTATATAAAACTGTTGAGGTTGGTGGAGCATGCAGTAGTTTTCACCTCCGTGCAAATCAGAACCGCTTACAACAATAGTATCCAACAGTGATGACGTGCAACCATCTCCTTTGCTGGGTGTTTGTGCTTGTGGCCTCTGGCCCACTGTCTGTCCATACCATCATAGAATCTGCTGAGATGGCCTATCCAGGACCTGGTGAGTAAATGATAATGTGTATTGATTGATCAGTTAAGCTGCATTAGTAGCATTTTTGAACTTATGATTAATGTCAGCAAAGTTTCATCCCATCCATCCATCCATTATCTTTACCCGTTTATTCCATTTTGGGTCACGGGGGTCGCTGGTGCCCATGTCCAGCAATCACTGTGCGAGGGGCGGGGTACACCCTGGACGGGTCGCAAGTCTATCACAGGGACACATAGAGACAAACGAGACAAACAACCATTCACTCTCTCACTCACACCTAGGGACAATTTAGAGTTACCAATCAGCCTAACATGCATGTTTTTGGTCTGTGGGAGGAAACCGGAGTACCCATAGAAAACCCACGCATGCATGGAGAGAACATGCAAACTCCACCCAGAAAGGCTCCTGGACCGGGGTTTGAACCAGGGACCTGTTCGCTGAGAGGCAGCAGCTCTACCAGTTGCGCCACCGTGCTGCCAGTTTCATCCCTAGACTTTAAATTATTTTGAGGGTTGCAGTGCTCAGCAGAGATTTATTCGTGTATATATTTATCAATTTTCACACGCAAGTTTAATTATAAGAATTTACTTTTTTTTTTATTTTTATATTTTATCAATTGAATAGTTAGAGGTTCAAAAGCGATTACAATTCTGGGTTAGGATATAAAAATAGTTCAGTATTTGTTTGTTGTTCTTCATTTTAATCAACTGTGTGGTGATTTTGTTGTCCTCAGTATCTGCAGAGGACCGAAGAATCGGATCACTGGACGACCTGTCTCTCTCGGAGCAAACCTTCCCTCTACAGGATGGAGCTGATCTCAGATATTCTCCTTTTTTATCTAGTAGAGACGGTAAGAAACGTGCACACAGACTTGCAAACTGGTGTAGCAGTTTTTGTTGCTAGTAGCACCAGTGACACTCTATAATCATTATAAAGTTATATTTATCTGGCATAATACTTTACATCAGCGTCATATCTCCTGTCTGTGTATCCTTCCAGGTGTTGGAACAAGTCAGCTGCCGAGAGGCCTCAAAAGAGAGGTCAGTTTTCTTAATGAATTATCCCTATGAATGCTGTGATGGTATCTGCAAATTATACTGTATTTCACATGCTATACCATGCACCATATAAGTGCTATAACTTTTCATTTAGGTCATATTGGAGAAGCAAAGTCTGCTAAAACCATACAGTCATATGCTGGGAGTCCGAAAACAGTTCAGGAAGAGAGAAGGGAACTCCGAGTGTTTCTGGAAGTACTGTGTTTAAAACTATTACAGCCTCGCTTTTAATAAAATGTCTTGAACTCGCACACAAAAACATCATAACCCCCACATGTAATGACTGTACACACACATACGCACATTCTTGTAAGTGTACTTTTTAGGGACTTTGCATTGACTTCCATTCATTTTCTATAGCCTAGCCCTGACTCTTACCCTAAACCTAACCATTACTAGTACATGCCTAACCCTAACCCATCTGCAATTCACACCTTAGTTCTAAACCTAACCCCTAACCCCACATCAAGACTTCTCCTTACGGGGAAACTGGTCTCCATAAATAGCAGTTGGTTCCCACAATGCATGATTTTTTTTGTAAAATTGGTCCCTACAAGGTAACCTGAAACAAAAACGATCGAGACCTGCTGGTTTGAAACTTTGATTTGTTATTTGTTGTCTGACTGTTATTAATGTGTAAAAATAAATCTTAATTTTCTGTATAAGCACTTGTTTTACATGTAAAAGTAAAAAAAGTAAAGAACACTGATGAGCAGAAATAAAAAAAACATATTGTAAAGGAATAATTTCTCTGCAATCGTCTTTATTGATAAAGTGTGCTGGTGAGAACATAAACCTTTTTGCTCAAATTAAAAGTGAACAAGGAAGCAAAAAGACGTAGCAAAATTGGTTCTCAAGTTTTCTCCATTTTTTCCTTTTTTTATTATTTTACAGCAGAAAGAATATAAAGCATTCAGAAAACATCTTCCATATTTTAAGGGCAATTCAAAATGTTTTGCATGGCTTCAGCAGCTGAAATCTCTCTTTTTTTTTTTTTTTTCAACATATGCATTGAGTCAGTGACGCTTGTACATGCACAGTTACAAAAATAAAACTTACAAACAAGAGAAAGGGGAGAAAAGGGAGTAAAGCAAAACACATTAGGAGAACCGAGAGGAGATGAACGTTTTGAGGGTTGGGAGCGGAGAAAATCTGGGTCACGTAACAGGAAAAGACAGAGAGAAAGACAGCTATAGAGGAGAGGAAAAGAGATCTAACACTAATTCACATGCAAAGTGTCAAGGACCCCTAACTTTCTAGCAAAGCAGGGCCTTTTTTTCTTCTCAGTTTGGAATTGATGAAAACGTGCAGTTCGGTAAAGGGTGCCATATAATTGCTGTTCATAAACTACTGAATGCTTGTCTTGCAATACTGGCATTTGCATAAGAGTAAGTCGACTACATGTGTCCAATCATTTCAAACACCGCTAGGCCTATAGGTCTCCACAAAACAGTTCATTATTGCTCCGTGTCAACGGGTGGAATAGACTTCGGAAAAAACAAAACAAAAAAAAAACCTGATTCTGTTCTGTTTGTCCTGAGGCGCCTACCTTTCTCATGTTTGGGTGCTTCAGAAAAAGAAGAGGAGGAAAGGCAGATCCTCAGGTCAATTCCCAGAACAGCTTGAAACTGATGATGCTGTTCGCTAAAGAATCAGAGTGCCTATCAGCTAACCTGTCACCCCACTCATAAATGGCAGTAAAAACAAGATTTGTAAGTGCAGTTTTCACAGAACGACACTCTCAATCTTAAATAGCTTCGACACTTTGTCACCGAGATAAATTAAAGGCCTAAAGAAGTGGCCAGAATCGTACGATTTGACAGATTTCAACGAGACGACAAATCATTTATCTTAATGAGCTACATATTCTCTATTCTAGGGCTTCAAAAGTGGCTGCCATGTCCAAGGTTACCGAGAGGAAATGGACTACATATTATACTCTAATTTGAACCATTTCAGTATCCCTATAGTGAATCTGCCCGTTCACTTTTTAAAAATCAGAAAGCACTGCTAAGGTTTTCCCAGCTTCCTCTGATGTGAATCACGTCCTGCTCTGTTTCCTCCTCCCCATTTTGGCACCCTGAGTAAAATACAGAAGGGAGGTGAACCAATGCTGCCGTCACTCCTCAGTTCACTCGTGGAACACATCCTGACATGTCTGAATGTGTGCTGTGCAATGCAAGTGCCTCCCTCCAGTCAAATGGTTGTTTTCTATAAGTTAATTAATTTAATAATGTTGTCCTGAATCGAACCAAAAACAGGCAAAGGGAAAAAGTCCAAACTGTTTCTGCAAGTTACTGCTTGCTCTAAATTATGTCCATCAGTAGCTGCTGAAAGTTGATCATTGGCTTCATTTATGCGTTTGCCTATCAGTCATAGGTTGTTTCTGAGTCCGGTGACCGTACCTGGTTGTTCATCATTGTGCAGAACAGCATGTCTTTATGTCTACCTGACTACCAATTTAAAGAAAATAAGCATGCTATAGGTGCAGCTCAGTCACCCTGGAGGCTATTTTACCCATGCAAGCATAATAAATCCTTTCTCCTTTTTTTGCCTAAAGTACGAGTACGAGGCAACAAACCCCAGTAGTGGCGTTCCTAAACAAGCTGTTTCAGTAGAAAATGGAGAAGGCAGAAAAATAAAAGTAATGCCAGGATGATGAGAAGCCGGCGCAACGCTTTGACTGTGGCTTCGGTGAGTGTAAATGGTATGATGGTAGCAACAATGTGGCTTCATGCAGAGGACACAGCTGTGGGTCAGGTCAGGTACTGAAATCACTATGGACGGGTGTTTGAGGACATGAATAGGCACTTTCTATATCAACAAGAAAACAGCCAATCAATCAAGAACATGAAATCAGAAAAATACCTATTTATCCTAACGATGGTTAAAAAGTATTTTAAAAATCAAGTTTTCAAGTGGCACTTGGCTGAATGTTCACATGTTTGAATTACTTTTTGGTAAGAATATTCTTCAGAAATTAGACAGCAGCCAACAGGCCCTCATAATAAATCATCTGTTATTTGCTTCTCACCCGTTTCGGACCTAAACTTACACTATAATTCAGAGTTCAATATACATTTTATACTTCACATTAAATACTACAGTGATTTATGCTCATTGAGTCTTCATGGACATTTTCTAGAAGCTCCTTCTTGGCTGGATTCATGTTTCATTTTGCAAGAAAGGCAATCTACTGTACAACTTTGTTAACTACAGTTTGTTTCGTGGTTTTCAGCATCCAAAGCGTTTTTTTCCCCCTCAAATAAATGACAAGATCTAGTTCCTTCAACATAAATTATTAATATTGAACTGAATGAGCTGGAAAGACACAATATGTTTTTATACCAGCCACCAGTTTTACACCGAGTTCCTAAAATCTAAGCTTGGTGCTACGTCTCAGTCTTTAGAAAAGTCATCTGTTCCAGCGATTAATAACAACAAAGAGTGGTTGACAGGAGTCCAATGAGCAAGGCTCCTTTTGATTTTTACAATCTTTAGGTTTAGACAAAGATACCTCAATAATCATGTATCACATTCCATTTTTAGTGACAACAAAAATCAAACAGCTTTGACATCCCGTGATGAGAAAATGCTCAACATGAGTGGACGATGGCGACGCAATGAGCCGAAGACTCTGCTCGAGTCCCTCTGCGACCTGTGTACCTCGTTGGTTTTTGAATCTTCAACCATTTGTGACTTTATGGTTTTCAGTGCTAATGTTTATGACGTCACTGTATTTGTACTTGTTCAGCAAAAACAACAAACATGTTCAGCTAATTGTCTAAACTACAGAGCAATCACGTATCTTGGCACCATTGGTAAAAGTTTCTTGGGAGCCCAAATTAAACAAACAAACAACAACAAAAATAAATAAATCAAGGAAATGAACGTAACTATAGTGGTTTTCAGATCATTTTGAAGACCTCTCCTAACACTAAATACATTATTTTAAAACTTTTTTTTTAATATGTATTAATATCATGCTTTAGCAAAACGTTCGTCTTCAGAACAATCAAAATAAAGTGAAATACTCTAATAGTGAAATATTTGTCATTTTACAGAGCATAGCCACTACTGCTTTTGTTGTTTTGTTTTTTCTCTCTTGTCTTTTGACTCTGTTCATAGTTTTCATGCACGTAGCTCATTTTTATCCCAGCTATTTACACTATATACAAACAATACAACCATACTTTTTCGGCATTCAAACAAAACTATACAAATATTCTGTTTTTGTCTTGTTCCTGTTTTTGACCCATTTTTAATGAATAAAATAATATATTTCTAAAATACAATCCCCCACGGGGAACATGTTAATATTATTTTTTTCCTACACATCTTGCAGCCTTCTTTATTTACAGAAATCACTCAATTGTCAAAAATATGGATTTGTCAAACCCCCTATTTTGGGACAAGCTTAGGGACCCCACAAAGAATCTCTAAGACGTCAAGGCAATGCATGTGATCTTCCCTTCCAAAGCCTACGCAGGCTCTGAAGTTCGTTAAAAACAAACCAACCAACAAACAAACAAAACAAAAACCCAGTAACAACCTGCATGACCATTACAACACAAAACAGGGACGTTTTTTCCTCTTCTAGGTTGCAGAAGGGGGATCAACTGAACAAGCCAAATGGGAATAAAATCAACAGGACAGCATGGAAATAGCCTAATTACAGAAAAAAAGAGAGGCTCTAATGACGGAGAACATGGATGTGTGGGGTCACTAACGTGAAAAAATGAAGAAAATCAGAGGAGAGGCTGAAAGACTAGGCCATAAACACACAAGCAAAGACATTTCTTCCCAAGAAGTCATGCATTTTCTCTTGGTAGGGTTTTAAGAACATATAGCCTGGAGGTACAGATCACCAATACATTGACAATGATGGAAGAAATACATTGGACAATATGAAACAAATTCAAGTAGTAAAGTGACTATATATATATTTATATATAGAGCGAGATATGATAAAGCGTTTTTTTTTAATAAGAAATGTTAAAACAGAAATATTCATCCCTAATTTGTGGTTTTGATTTTCACTACATTCATTTGGAGCTCTACCCATGAGGGTAGACTGGTGGGGTAGAGCGCGGTCGGACGGGAGAAAACATTAATTTAAGCTGAGTATCGTTCAATCAAAAGGAGTGGATTAAAGTGGATAGGTGGGTTATATCAGTGTATTTGGTCTTTAAATGAATTAAACTGGTAAGATACAAAATAAACCATGGAGTTCAACAGGAGTCCACAATGTTTCTGTGAGGTTTTCTTTTGTCTTCTGAGATTTTCTGCAGCCGCCCAAACTTTCCACCTGACGAGGTCCTCGACATGTGACAATCCACCTGCCCTGCATCGCCTTCCTTTGTCGTTCAAAACTTCTTCATATCCAGGAAACACAAAGAAATCCATGAAAAAGTGCAAAAAATGCCACAAAGCCAATGTTCTGCACCCTTCCCCCCACATGCCCTGTCAGTTTCTAGTCCTGTTGCCACTCTTCAGTCCAAATCAAGTCAGTGGAAACAACCGATGTGTGGGGAAAAAATGCTGTTGTACATGTAATAGTAGCACTGCTGTTGTAGTAATAATAGCAGTGCTTGCATTGATGTTTTTCTTTTCTTTTCTTTTTTTAACTTCTTTTCAATGTTCTGTTCTTTTGTAAATTGTCTCAGGTACAAACAAAAAAAAAAAAGAAGAAGAGAGGAGTCGGGAGAGTGATGTCACATCGCAAGGGGGCTCTTCTGAGGGGTCTCATGTTCCCTGGCCCTTTTCAATTCTTTCACCCTGAAACACAGAGATGGACGAGCTTCTGTAAATAAAACGTGAAAAGTGGGAACAGATTCAAGCAAACGCGCACACAGACACAAACACAGGCCTGACGCCATCACATATTGAGACCGAGCCTCACGTCAGCTCAGAACATCAGGCACTAACCCTGCTCTGTGAAAGGAAACATCGTTTATAGTTGAAATGAAACAGAAAATACAACTTTGACCTTGAAAATTAGAAAATGAGACAGCTTAAACACAGTTACAGAATCCCTGTTAAAAGCAGCAATAAGCTCAAATCTGTGTATAAATAATTAAAGAAAAATATGACGTTAACAATTAAAGTTGATATATTGAAACACCATTTTACTGGATATCATCTCTAATTAATACTCAAGTGACTTGTGTATTTAGTCAGCTTTAGTGACTTATGAATGCAATAAATTGTTGCTCTTAACGCTTTAATAGTTTTTTTGTTTGTTTTTTTCCACAGACACACAGTTATTAGTTGCAAATTTTACTTTTCCATACAAAAAAAAAAACCCAACCAACCCCTTTCTGACTGATACATGTTTCAAAACACACAAAAAAATCACCACAATATTCATATATTTATACAAAAATAGTAACAGCAGGTAGTAGCCAGGAGACTAAATGTATTTATTGTGTATGTTAGTTAGGTGTAGCATATTTTTGATTCAGATGGGCAGGTCACATTAAATCTTAAAGAGAAACGGGACAGGTGAAGTTCCCCCCTCAGTCTGTCGAGTGGCTTGAAACAGAGCATACAGTCAGCCAGCCAGAGACACAACTACTTCAAAAACAGCCGGTTTAGAGCATGCCTAAAAGTAGAAGTTGTCAGCACTTGACATGCAGCAGGAGATCAACAGAGTTGAGAGAAAATAAAAGCTTCCTGAACTCTTAAACTGGCCATGTGCAGACTCACACAAAGCTGAATTCAAACAGAACAACATAAAGTGTCATTTTAGAGAAGAAAACGACAAGAGATAAAAATAAATACAAAGAGAGAGAGAGAGAGAGAATCAGAGACGTGTCCGGTAAGTGTTGCAGTGGACTCATCATTCAGAAGCATTTTGTTAGTCTGAGAAAGGTTCTGCTCTAAATGTGAGCCTCTCAGTCCACCCGTGGCTCCGGTCGGCAGCCTTCATGCAAGCAGGCATCAAGCAACAGTGGTGGAGCATGAGGAGGGGCTGGGTGGGGAGGTGGGAGAGAAGGAGCAGAGGTGAAAATGTGAAAGAAAAGAAGAGATCACCGAGGCAGAGACTTCCGATTATTGAGATTATTGTTTCAGCAAAGAGTGAGAGAGACACACGGGGAGGACTGAAGGAGAGAGAGGCGCAGGGAGTAAACAGGTAGAGGAGATAAAGAGAGGAGGGGGAGGCATGAACTGAGTTGCTGAGGCTGCACTCACCCGCTTGAACAGTCTATGGTCCATCAAGGGGCTTAGCATAAACAGCAAAACAATACCAGACAGCTATTAGCACACAGTGGGCACCGTGGAGGGGGGTGGGTGGGGGGGGGGGCAAGGACAGGTGGGGGCGGGAGGTGGAGCTCAAGGATTATGGGTATTTCTAACCACTGGTTGTAAAAAAAAATATATATATATCAAACACCTCACTGTGAACAAACAAAAAGTAAAAAAAGTCATTTTCTGCCTTGTGGTACAGCATCCAGTAAAAGCGAGTACACCCATGTGCAAAATCACTGAAACGTGTGTTTGACTCTCACTCACTTCATTGATTTCAACTCTGGCATTTTGTCTGATGTACTCTAAATTCTCTCAATTTAGTTTAGTTACATGAAAATGGTATACAGTAGTCCCTCGTTTATCACGGGGGATCTGTACCCTGAAGACCCGTGATAAGTGAAAAACCGCGAAGTAGGAATAGTAGTACAAGTAGTAAGTAGTAGTTTATTTTATTATATACTGTATATACTGCCCACATTCTTGCAATATTCTAAATGTTTCTCAATGTTTCCAAATGCTAAAGTTCTATCTTATCTTAGATAAGATAAGATGATTTCAACTCTTTGCCTCCGCTGCTCTCAGCTACCTGCAAGCGCCCTTGGCCACGCCCACTTCTCCGCTCTGCATGGTGAACAGCTGATCAGCTGCAGCAAGAAGCTTATCCTAGAATATGGGTTGCGCATATGTGCAGCAGGTGCTAAATAGTTTCAAATAATTTATTTTAAATGAAAAATTTCATGCCGATCGTGCAGCTCATCCATCAATCCAGCCTGTGTGTCAAGTGCAATCTTATTTTGAAAAAAAAAAAAAAAACGAACCGCAAAGTAACGAGGGACTACTGTACTGTAGTTCGAAAAGCAAAAACTCCACAAATTCATGCAGCAAATCTTTAACTTCTGGTTTAATTTACAATTCTTTGTTTATGATCACACAGATATTCTTCCAGGCCACTTTAAATGAAATGTAAGACAGTTCAGTGTTTTTAATGTGAACAGGGACGTTCCTCTGTAGCCGAGCCTCTAACGACCTGGAGTCTCATTATACCATCAGCTACTTTGATAGATCCACAGGAAGTTATGGTGCCTTCTAGAACCTCTGGTGTTAATGTAGCTCAGCAACTAATCAAAATGATGTGCTCCGAATTTTATTATTTTAACAAGCTCCTCTTCATTATGAACGTTTAAATGAGCAGTTGCAAGTATTTCATTGTTTGGATGACTCACGGAGACATTCAGCCTCCTTGCTGCTGAAGGTAACTCACTTCCTTTAGGCACTCTGACTGCTTTTGTTGTGTCCACATCGCAGGAGGAACAGACAAGCTAGTTTTCTGTTTGTTGTTTTACTTCTAAATTGGAAGTAGGTGTTTTTACAGTACGAGGGAACCTTTATGTAACTGAACTGTGTGATAACTGGTCCAGACAATGTAAATTTAGCTTCTACATAAAATTAAAGACTGAGAGGTGATTCTGTTTGGAATATTTTGAGAAGAAAGTCATCTTGCACAAGAATGCACCTGCTGAAGTTGTACATGGTCATTTTTACTATACCTCATTAATAACACAATAGTAAAAAATATAAATAAAAAACCTTTTAGATGAAGAACCAGCTGTTGCTGTATTTTACCAGTAGATTTTCATTTCCAACGTGTTGTTGAGGCCTACCTGTGGCGGCAGCGTCGTAGAAACCTCATTATCTTCCTTGCAGCCTGATCCTGCCTTTTTGTGAGCAGACTACCCCTAAAAAACAAAATAGAGTTCACCTATAAACAATTGTTAATAAAATGTTAAAATGTCGTCAATGGTCATTTTTCAAATGAGAATGTGACCTTTTTTTTTTTTTTTTTTTTTACAAAGCACGAGGTATTTAATAAACCAAAAGTGAACATTTATCATCCCTCAAACTTATTTCTGTAAATTACTGTGTTGATAAATGACCCAAAGCAGTCACCATTAATCAGTTCATCAGACATGTCCAGTAATTTAACTGTCATTTTGTGGCCATGTTGGATGATGGAGTGGCTTCTGTATGCAGCAGGGTTAATATATTCTGCTATTTGGTCGTGATGAGGCTTGTGTCCGAGTGTCACCTCAGTTTGTGCTGCACCAGGGCAGCAGCTGCCCCACGCTGATGAGGCTTCAGCCTGCCAAACTCCTTGTAGCTGCGGTAGTATTGCTGAATGAGCACCGCCGCCCTCCTGCTCTGTTGGAACTTCTTCTGCTCGTGGTAGCTACGGAATTTACTCTGGATAAGGATGGCGGCCTGCGTCATCTTCTTATAAAGTGCATACTGCAGACGAGCACAGAGCAATATATCAGGCTTTGTTACGTTTAGTGCAAGAGTGCTGCAGGTTCATGCCATAAAGCAAGCAACATGTTACCTTCAAGGCTATCCATGTTAGCTTGTAAACAGGAAAAAGGAAGACACTTTCAATGATGTACTCTAAAAATACTCGGGCTGAGGTGCAACACTGGCTTACAGACTTCAGAGCTGTGAAGCCTACCTGTTTGTATTTCTTGTAGCAGCGTTGTATAACAGCAGCAGCTACTTCCTGTTGCTCTTGGAGCGGCCGCCCCTGTTGGAAAGTAAAGTGGGACAGGTCAGAGGTTAAAGTTGAGTCTTGTTTTTGGCACAAAGGATATCAGCGGGTTGCTGAGGTGTCGTGGTGGCTAGAATATAAATCCACCCCGGATAAAGACCACGTCTTGTGGACCAAAGAGTGAAGTGGGTAAGATGCTGCCCAACAGAGAGCCCTCACAGTACCAGCTGGCAGATGAGCACAAAAGACAACTGTGAACGACAGTGAACAGTTTGTCACGTAAAAGCTTAATAAAAGTTGTCAGAGGGGTGGGGAGGCAGATTGGGAAAGAGACTGGGCAGGATGAGAACTGGTGTGCGGAGAGCTAGTTAAATACAGGCAGAAGCAGGTGTCCCTAACTGAGAAAGGACATAAAGACAGAGTGGGGGCGCAGCAGCTCAACAAGGTCTAAGTGCAGCAGGGACATGGGGGGTAGTGCAGCTCCTCTAAGCAAGGCCATGCTCCGCTCAAGCCACCTTTCCCATGCTAAAACCACAGGAACATATGTATAGTTTTTGTCTTAATGTTGTAATGTGATTATGAGCAGAGAAACAGAATGACACAAATATAACGACTGAACTCCATATTCAGTAGCAACCATGATTAGAAGACAGAAGGTAGATAAAACCACATCACAAATGCTGAACTTCACAGCAAAAAATAGGACTCCACAGCTTGACCAGCATAAAGTCACCCCTAAAATCACAAAAACAAACCTATTTAATTTTGCTAATCCTATTAGCCGAGCTACAAAACAAGAAAAGTATTGGACCTGGACCCCGGGCCTGTACCTTGTACTTGCGGAAGGCAGTTTGGACCAGACGGGCAGCCTCATACAGCTCTCTCTGCTCTGGATCTGACAGAGTCAGCTGGGCCAGGTCTCGCTCCACCTTGCTGTTGGAGGCATTGATGAACTCACTCCAGTCAGCTAGAGAAGGGACCGCTGACCTGTCCAGGGGGCCCTCCTGCAGCGGAGACCCCCCAGGACTCAGGCTAGGGTTGGAAGTTGGTGTCAGAGGTTCATTGTACAGAGATCTAAGGAAAAAGGCGACATGAAGAGTATGACTTTCAACTGTATCTCAGAATAAATGTTTACTCACTCAATACCAAACTTTTAAGATCTTTAAATGAAAATACGTTGTTTGTTCATTTTTTATTCATTCTTATCCATCAAAGTAAGAACTTTTTTTGTTTGCCATAGCATGCAAACTGGTTCCACAACATGCATACTCAGTTCAGTGATACTCCTTACCGTAAGTGTATGATGCTTGGCAGCTGTTCCACATCACCCAAGTAGTTGGCCAGCCAGTTCATGGTGCTGCTGACCCCTGATGTATCTAAGGGCACGGAGTCCGCTGCTGTGAAGTTCTCCCTTTTGATTCTCTCTGGTGTGGCTTCAATGATGTGCTCTGCCAGAGTCATCATATTCACCTGTTGGTTTGAGAAAATACTGAACTTACTGAAGTAAGCACCGTGTAAGTTTTCATCAGTGTGCTGTCTCTTCACGGCCTAGTTCTGAAGGTTTAATGGTTTGGTGCAAAGACAAAAACATTGGCTTTTATTAATGACAGCAATAATGCTAGAGGCTAAAATTCTCATTCTGGCACTTCATCTGTTGGAGCAGTAGTTAGACTGATATGGATGCCTGGAAGGATCCCATGGCTATTGAAGAAGATCAATACAAAGAGTTTATTATGTAGTGATGGTCATTGACAGAGTGCCAGGTGGGGTTGTTTTATATTGCCAACCCAATGCAGCAGGCTGGCATTAAAGAAGAGGTGTGATCTTGTAATACTTTATACCCAGGCAACACCCTCCCTCTGATATAGTAATTTGTATATACAGTGGGGAGAACAAGTATTTGATAGACTGTTGATTTTTCAGGTTTTCCCACTTGCAAAGCTTGTAGATGACTGTAATTTTTATCATATGTACTTTTCAACTGTGAGTGATGGAATCTAAAACAAAAATCCAGAAAAATACAATGTATGATTTTTAAATAATTAATTTCCATTTTATTGTGTGAAATAAGTATTTGATCATCTATCAACCAGTAAGAATTTTGGCTCTCACCGACATGTTAGTTCTTCTTTAAGAAGCCCTCCTGTTCTCCACTCATTACCTGTATTAACTGCACCTGTTTGGACTCGTGACCTGTATAAAAGACACCTGTCCACACACTCAATCAATCAGACTCCAGCATCTCCACAATGCCCAAGGCCAGAGAGCTGTGTAAGGACATCAGGGATAAAATTGTAGACCTGCACAAGGCTGGGATGGGCTACAGGACAATAGGCAAGCAGCTTGGTGAGAAGGCAACAACAGTTGGTGCAATTATTAGAAAATGGAAGAAATACAAAATAACGGAAAATCTCCCTCGGTCTGGGGCGCCATGCAAGATCTCACCTTGTGGAGCATCATTGATCTTGAGGAAGGTGAGGAATGAGCCCAGAACTACACGGCAGGACCTGGTCAATGACCTGAATAGAGCTGGGACCACAGTCTCAAAGAAAACAATCAGTAACACTACGCCGTCAAGGATTAAAATCCTGCAGTGCACGCAAGGTGCCCTTCCTCAAGCCAACGCATGTCAAAGCCCGTCTGAAGTTTGCAAATGACCATCTGAATGATCCAGAGGAGGAATGGGAGAAGGTCATGTGGTCTGATGAGACAAAAATAGAACTTTTTGGTTTAAACTCCACTCGTCATGTTTGGAGGAAGAAGAATGATGAGTACAACCCCAAGAACACCATCCCAACCGTGAAGCATGGCGGTGGAAACATCATTCTTTGGGGATTCTTTTCTGCAAAGGGGACAGGACGACTGCACCATATTGTGGGGAGGGTGGATGGGGCCATGTATCGTGAGATTTTGGCCAACAACCTCCTTCCCTCAGTAAGAGCACTGAAGATGGGTCGTGGCTGGGTCTTCCAGCATGATAACGACCCAAAACACACAGCCAGGGCAACTAAAGAGTGGCTCCGTAGGAAACATCTTAAGGTCCTGGAGTGGCCTAGCCAGTCTCCAGACATGAATCCCATAGAAAATCTTTGGAGGGAGCTTAAAGTCCATGTGGCCCAGCGACAGCCCCGAAACCTGAAGGCTCTGGAGGAGATCTGTATGGAGGAGTGGGCCAAAATCCCTGCTGCAGTGTGTGCAAACCTGGTCAAGAACTACAGGAAACGTCTGATCTCTGTAATTGCAAACAAAGGTTTCTGTACCAAATATTAAGTTTCATTTTTCTGGTGTATCAAATACTTCTTTCACACAATAAAATGGAAATTAATTATTTAAAAATCATACATTGTATTTTTCTGTATTTTTGTTTTAGATTCCATCACTCACAGTTGAAGAGTACCTATGATAAAAATTACAGTCATCTACAAGCTTTGCAAGTTGGAAAACCTGAAAAATCAACAGTCTATCAAATACTTGTTCTCCCCACTGTATATATATACAGTATATCCTTGTACTTGAAAAAAATCAAATCAATTAGAAAAGACAAAAAACGTGTCTTTCTGTTTATGTGCATATATCCTGTATCTATTGTTTCAGTTGTATTTCACTGTATGACATCTTGACATAGAAGTCTTCAGCAAGATCAATCCCAAAATATTTCTTCAGCACTAGTTCAACATAGAGATGACTGAGAACAGTTTCCTGTTCTTCATCCTCACCTGCAGGTCGTCCATCTGTGTGAAACAGTCCTGGTTCTCCAAATCTTCCCGATATGATAGCAGCTCTGAATTAGCCATCTCTCTGTCTGCCATAACCAGCATACCTAGCTGTTCCCGCTGCCGCAGTCGGTTGACCAGCTTCTCTTTTGCTAGACTGCTGCTCCCGCTCATCCCTAGCGACTTCCTCCCCAAGTTGCTGCTTGAGAAATTATCTCTGGAGGTCCATCTGGCAGTTGCGGTGCTGCCTCCTGTAGACAGGTGTTTGTCTGAGCTCAGGCCCTCTGAGGACAGGCTCTTGGTGCTTGTGGACAGTTTGTGGAGTTGCTGCTGCTCCAGGCTCAAAGGAACAGACATGGCCTTGTTAGGCCGAGTCTGAAACAGTTCTGGATTGGGTTTATGTTTTTTAGCTAGTGGGAGGTCTCTTTGGCCCTCACTGTTGTAACAGTTGGAGGGCTCTGACCTAGGTCTCCTCAAGTCTGAAAAAATAGAACAGAGTAAGCTGAATACCATCTCAAAAAGTTTAAACTTGTCAGAGCGCATCAGGAATTACAAAATGTTCCAGTCAATGACTCTGTGCTGACCTGGATTGAGGCTAGTGGTGCTTGATATAGTAGTGTTGGTAGGACCTTTCTTTCCACTGGGTGCTACTGTGCCGTCGTTTGCCCAGCTGACCATCCAGCTGTCTGTGGTGGGTGCGTCAGGGGCTGGAGAGAAAGACATACGGCTTGTGGGTGGTAGAGGTGCTGGGGGCTGTTCTTCCCGCTGTAGCTGCTCCAAGCACTCAGCCAACTTGGTGTGGCCACGAGAGCGTGCAATCGATAACGGTAAGCGACCCAGAGAGTCTGGGATTGCTAGGGCACGTCTGTCCCATTTATACAGGACCACTGCTGCCTCCAAGTGACCCAGTGCACATGCCCACATCTGGATGGAAAGGAAAACAAGAAAAGTAGCATTTTAAAAGATCTGTCATGATCAATTTTTGCCCACACAGACAAAAGTTCACATTGTCTTACCAAAGGAGTACAGGAGAAGTGATCGACATTGAGAGGGTCCACTTCTAACTCCAGATCAATACTATCGGCATGCTTAGTCCTGGATAAGAGAAACAAAAAAACAATGAGCTTCTCTCAAGTATTTGGTGTTGTGTATGCTTAAACCATAGAGCCATTATAAATTTTGTGGAAAATTTCCTTCTCACCTCCATTTGATGAGTGTCTGAATGAGGGTGGCATAGCCCTGGCCAGCAGCCAGGTGAAGGAGTGTCATCCCTCTGAAGGTCTTAGAGTGGATTAAATGTTTGGACTTGGCCCAGCAAGCTCTGCTCATCATCTTCTCACAGACCACCACGACACGGCTCTCAAACGAGCTGCTGGCCTGCATCTGGCCAGAAACACACTAAAAGCACCAAAGAACATCAAGCTGTTATATCGCTAGCAGAACATTCATTGTGGCTGTAGATGTGAAATATTTTAGTCAGTCAGTGAAAGTGATGTCCGACCGGCTTAGTGTGTGCTGTCACAAGCACAGTAGCTGGCTTCAGTCATGGTATGAACAGAATGATGCTTTTTTTACCTGTGACTGGCTGTTGTTGCCTCCTCCACCTCCTCCACAGCCTCCTCCTCCTGCACCCCCTCCCCCTGTTCCTCCACCAGCTCCGCCACTCCCTGCACTGCTCGACTGCTGGTGGCTGGCCATCTCTGCCATCCTTCTCTCCATCTGCTCCAAGCGCTCCAGGATAGACATTCTGAACTGGTTATCTGGGCACAAAGAGGAACCCAGAAGAACATGTCAGTGAACAAGTACAATCAAGTGTGAGAGAAGATTATGTCAGTATGCTAGTTCCAGTACAAACAACCCCAAATCCTGACATGACAAATATTCACACAGTACGTATGCCCACCCCCCCCCCCCCCAAATCTGCACCTAGAAGATTTTAAATTGAGGCAGTGGCAATGGCAGATATTGTCATGAAGAGTACAATCAAAGAACAAATCCACTAATCTATTTTTTTATTTACTAATAGCTAAAACAAGAGCTGATCATTTTTTTAAAATCAATTTTCAAATACATGTCATTAAGGAAAACAATTGCACTGTCCAGCAGCTAATTTAAAAGACACTACCTAAGAAGTAAAGCATTAACATCTTTGTCTTTGTACTTCAAAGATCCAACTGACTAACAGAGTTAGTCTGATCATGATAAATGTGTCCAACAATCACATCAAACAAGCTTTAGTGACAGTGTACAGCTGAAGGCCCTGTCCAGTTGATTTAGAGCCTGGCATGGCCCTGTTTCATGCACCTGTTTGGAACAAGCTGACCGTAGAGCTTAAATCAAAGCTTACGCACTTTACTTCAAGTATTTGACAATGCAGCCTTTTCATACATCAAGATGGACAGAGATGCATTCAATGAAGACGGCTTAAAAGCTGTTTTAGAGGTAACTACTATGGTGCGCTCTGTGGCAGTAAGAATAGTTTCACTGCTTCTTTTTACTTCTTGCAACAAACAAAGCTATCATTTACAGTAGGCCACACATTTTATTAAAAACATTACAGAAACTTCTACCACCATATCCTTTCTGAAAAACAATGAAAAATCTTGAAAATTAAACTTTTTTTAATCCCCATGTCAATTACCAGGACAATACAGTTTTTAATGAAGTTCTGATGACTTATGTTTTAAATCAACATTTGTAAAATTGTTTTTATTTAGAATGATGCTGATGACTTATGCTTTTTTTAAAGAAGATCAATACCCCTATCAATTCAGTCCCAGTTGTAGACCTTTCTAAGCTGATTGATTGTGGAAATAAAAGCCTTGTAAATAAGCAACTTGTAAATAATTTAGATGTTTATGATGCTTAATGTTCAGTCTGATCAAGGCCAACAATATGGTGGTTTATTGTCGAGCTAAAACAGTTGCTAAGGTTTTCCAGCTTCTACAGTCTGCATTCAACATCATCCAGTCAGACTTGTTCCATCTCAGACTGGTGCTAAATGCTAATAAAATGAACGGGATGTTGTTTCCAAACATGAAGTTGATACCAGCAGTCCTTCCTTCTATCTCATCCATACATGGTGTTCCTATTGAGTTTGTCGATTCTTGCAAACACTTGGGAATCTTGGTCGATTCACTTCTCTCTTTTAAGCCAAATGTTGAAAACTTGGTGAAGAAATTTAAAGTAAAATTAGGTTTATTTTTCAGAAATAGATCTAGCTTAACTCTAAATGCTAGAAAACACCTTGTAGATGCTACTTTCCTTCTGACCATTGATTATGGTGACATTATTTACATGAATGCCCCTCCAAGCTCCTTGCAGATGTTGGATGCTGTCTACCATGGTGCGCTAAGATTCATAACTGGTTGTAACTACTGTACCCACCATTGCACCCTGTATTCACTGGTCAGTTGTTCATCATTAACTTCATGCAGACTTTCTCACTGGTACATTTTCATCTTTAAATCACTCCTTGGTCTGCTGCCTTCATACATCTCCTCCTACATGTCTCATTAGTGCAGTTACAGCGTGCGCTCTCAAGCCATCATTACCTGCAGTGTACCCTCAGTGCCGGCTGATCTCGGCAAAAAGGCATTTTCTTACTCTGCTCCTGTTTCCTGGAATATCTTGCAAAATGATCTGAAGCTGTCGACTTTGATCAAGGGATTTAAAAAAATTAAGTTCAACGCAAAAATCAATGCAGACATGTTCTTGTTTTTAGTATTTTAGTATTTACCTCATTTCATAATGTAGCTTGATTTTATTTTGTTTTATACCACAGCTTTTATTTACTTTCTATTTTTATTTTATATGCATTTTATGGCTGTTTATTTTTGTGTGTACCTTATCTGTGGTTTGTCTAATACAGGTCTCTCTTGAAAATGAGTCTTCGTGACTCAGTGAGACTAACCTGTATAAATAAAGGTTGAATGAAAAAAAGGCAACATGAAAAGAAATAAGCCTGTTTTCAGAGAAAGATGTGATGAAACAGATCTTTCATAGAAATATGTCAACTTGTGAGGTAGAAGAGACTGCCAAACAATGCCTCACACCTTTGGCTACTGGCCTGAATGGGCATAGTATGGTAGATACTGTAAGCCTAATCCAGGAGAACACTTAGGATGTTTTCCATCAGACAACGTGCTCTGTCAGGGTAATAGCATGTGAACAGATCCACCCAGGACTCACTGAACAATCCTCGAGAATTGAGGCATTGCATTGAAATTTCACTTTATCACAGTCTCTCATCCTGAACAAGCACAAAGGCAATAGTGGAAAGAAAAAAACTCCCTTTTAACAGGAAGAAACCTTCCAGCAGAAGCAGGCTCAGGACAAGTGGCCATCAGCTTTGACCGGCTGGGGTATGAGAGGACAGGAAGGAGAAACAAACAAACAGAATGACAGGTCCATGTGTACTTTCTATTGGATAAAAACACACACAAAGACATGTTAAGGACAGAAATAATTACAAATACAAATAGGTAGAGTAGAGCAAGTAAAGACAGCAGCAGAGTGAGGAAATGTGATCAATTTGTCCTCCAGCAGTCAAAGCCTATAGCAGCATAACTAAGGGACAGCTCAGGAAACCCAAGGTGTCCCTAAATATAGGATTTATCAAAAAGGAAAGACTTAATCCCAGTCTTAAAACTGGACAATGTGTCAGCCTCATGGACAGAAACTGGAAGTTGGTTCCATGAGAGAGGAGCCTGATAACTGAAAGACCTTCCTCCCATTCTGCTCTTGGAAACTCTAGAAACCACAAGTAAACCTGCAGTCTGAGAGTAAAGTGCTCTGTTAGGAAAATATGGAACAATAAGATCTGTAATATAAGATGGAGCTAGGTTGTTGAGGGCTTTGTAGGTTAGAAGTAATATTTTGAATTCAATTCTGAATTTGACAGGGAACCAAAAGAGAGAAGCTAAAACTGGAGAGATATGATCTCTCCTACTAACTGACAGCAGCATTTTGGATCAACTGAAGATGATCTAATGAACTTTTATGGACATCCAGATAATAAACAATTGCAATAGTCCAACCTAAACATGATAGATGCATGGATCAGTTTATCTGCATAATTTCTGGACAAGATATTTCTAATTTTAGTGATATTATGCAGGTGGAGGAAAGCAGTTCTGGTCACTTTTTTTAATGTGGGGGTTAAAATTCAATTCAATTCAGTTTATTTATATAGTGCCAATTCATAACGAAGTTGCCTCAGGGCACTGAACAGAAACATTCACATACATAGAAAAGCCAATTAGTAAAGTTCTCCATCTAAGTAAGCCAGTTAAAAAACACATATCCTGATCAAAAATAACACCGGTTTTTTATTTTATTTTCATATTAGAACTGCAGGTGGGCAGCACAGTGGTGCAGCTGGTAGACCTGTTGCCTCTCAGCGAGCAGGTTACCCTGGTTCAAATCCCGGTCTGGAGGCCTTTCTGGGTGGAGTTTGCATGTTCTCTTTGTGCTGCGTGGGTTTTCTCCTGATACTCCTGTTTCCTCCCACAGACAAAAAACATACATGTTAGGCTGATTGGTAATAGAGCTGTCATTTTTAACCCGGCCGAACCCTAAGCCCGGCCACACCCAACCCAAATTCGGGGTGGATCGGGCCATGATAATGTGCTGGATGAGCGGGCCGGGTCGGTGTTGGGCTTTTAATTAGGTCAGGATCAGCTGCAATCCATTTATATGATAACATGGCCTGCCATACTATCACCAGCCGCACGCGGCCATTTCGCCTGAGCTGACCGGCCTTGAAAGAGGTAAAAAGTTCAGTTAAGCTTCAGATGGGACAGTACTGCCAGGCAGCGACCCATCGCCCAAATGGACGTTCATTCAGCCGCTGCACTCAGCGGACACACGCGGCCGATGACCCAAACAGGTGAGATCCCAAAGCAGACGTGTGTCAGAGCTGTCCACGTGTCTCAGTAATGCAGAAGAATGCAGCAGAAACGGGGTTTAAATGCTTTTTTATGGCCATGAAATGACAAACACCCTCAGCTTCGAACCTTATGCTCCTTTTATTCAGCTGCGCGTCCCCGACCGTTAATAACTAATTAAAAATGTTGTTTTTATTATTTCAGGTTCGGACCTGTAATTACTGTTAATTCGTCGGGTCGGGTGGGGTTTGGAAATTATGACTGTGGGTTGGGGCCGGGTCAAATCAGATTTTTTTGGGCCCAAATGCAACTCTAATTGGTAACTTTAAATAGTGTGGGTGAGAGAGTGAATGATTGTCTCATTTGTCTCTCTGTGTCCCTGTGATGGACTTGTGATCTGTCTAGGGTGTACCCTGCCTTTAGCACAGAGACTGCTGGAGATGGGCAATAGCTCCCGCGACCTGGAAAGGAGAAGCAGGTAAAGAAAAAGTATGGATGGATGGAAAGGTAGGGCCCATGTGGTGCCAGCGGTTACTGAAGCACTCTGAGCTATCGAGTCAAGTCAAGGTTCTTTATTGTCATTCTCATCATATGTGGTACATGTGATGGAACTAAACTGTGTACACAGGTTCCCAGTTACATCCAACAAAATTATAAATTGTAAAAGAAAAACAGTACGGTAATAAGATCTAAAATATGAACTAAGAAATACGCTAAACTAAAAATACACTAAGCACTAATAGTACAAAATCAATACGACGCACAACAGCAGCACAAACAACATAAAGTATGCTGTGCACAGACAATGAATGGGGATGGGCACAGAGAGCCCACTGCAGCAGGGAGTATAGAAGACTGCATTAGCATCCCCC